CCCCAAAACCCCAAAACCCCTTAACAGCTAATCTAAAATGAATTAGATAATGTAAATATTTTAATTAATCATTGTTATTTAATTCATGAATTATTTTCCTCATTGAAATTTATAAATTTCCACCCAATCAACCATCTTTTAGTTTAACCTTCCTCTATTTCTCCAGTTGCAATTAAAATATCATAATCTATACCATCATCCATATGATCACTAGAATCTAAAATCATCTCTTTCAAATAAGTTTTCATGAACTCAAATGTAGTCTTTTTACCTATTAGACTTGTAAACCACTTTATATTGTTTCTATATTTAGCACTTTCATGTGCTAACCTGCATAAAAAGCCTATTTCACCGCCTGATGTCTAATCCTCAGTTTGATTTATTGGACAGACCTATAAGAATTCGATTAGTTAAATTCCTTACAGATGAATATCGAGCATTTCTTTATTCTTGTGAATCAAAGAAAGGAGGATTGCAAATGGTAAAGTCAAACTTGTCACATTTGATATTTATTACTCCATCTAAAATCTATTCATCATTTTCCTAATACCTAATAGGAGAATTGAAGTGGAACTTAAGACTGTTATTTTTTTGAATAATTTATTCTTCTGCCCATTTTATGCTCTCCTTATTGACATCACTACCTGAAAAAACCCATCCATACTTTTGAATCCCAATAATAGGATATATGAAATTTGCACCTACACCTCTTTTTAATTCATGAATCACTATTTTACACATCAAATCCTCGCAAACTAGATAGTTCATCTTGATTAGATCTTTCGACATATTTGAAAATATCATGTATCCAATCGATATAAGCTACTCTCTAAGGTACTCTCGGAATCAAGTTTCCTTTTGGCAGGTCATAATTTTCCATTTTGTAATCAACTATTAGTATTGCTTTTGTAAGTTCCAAGATCGCATTTTCATTTTAAAAATCTATTTTAACCTGACCACTCTCTCCTTTGTTTATGCTATATTTATGCTCAACTATTTTATTGATACTTACTATTCTCTTAGGGGAATATGCTTTTCAGCGAGTTTCTCAAAATCCATTTCCTTTAAATTAATTATAGAATACTTGTTAAAATGTTAAACTAGAAATGTTCTATTATAGAATCATGGGGTTTTGGGGTTTTGGGG